TTGGTAAGCACTCTTCATATATTGTTGTATTTTGCAGTTACCGCCTAACATGTCTGACTAGTGGAAAGCAGCTACGATTTTAGATCACTACTTTTGCTGCTGAATTTTGTTGCCTATGTTTTACGGGTGGCCTTGCTCCTGTTGGTCTCCATACCATCAACTGTTGTTTGGTTTTTGGTTCGTACTTATAGAACCAAAAATCGTCACCAGTAACAACTTTACTAAAGTTGCTGGACTGTCCATTTTCGAATTTGTTTAAGAAAATGTGAGCAAATTGCACCTGAGCCTTTTTTGAGGCTCATTTAAAATTCACGGTTCGCATTGAGCCGATTTCTTCGTGTATCCCAGATGGTTGCTTAATATTCGCGGCACAGACATGGCCATTTTATAAGCGATCATTTCTTATGTTAATCGTGGGTCTTCGTCAATTTTAGACTTCACCAGATCTGCAGTGACGCGATCAATAGAAAATTTTGTTCGACCTTCTAGGGGCTCATCTTCTACGGAAAAAGTGCGTTCGGGAACCTTCGGAACCACTTAGAAATAGTCTTTAAAGACAGTGTAATGGTTTCATGTTCTATAGGCTTTAAATTACACCGAAATCCGAAGAGAATCCCATGGGGAATTTTTGTTTGTGGTGTAATTCCGTCTGACCTTTCCTTGGCTATTTTGCATTTTAGCCAATCGGTTGATAAAATTGATTTGATTGATAAGTAATTGCAAAGAATTGGGTAATTTAGAGTAAAAAAAAGTGAAATTCGCCTTACTTCAACTTGTTTTATTTAATAATTTTATGTATGCTTTTAAATTTATTTTAGTTTAATTTGGGATTTTTTGTTAGTAAATTTTGTTATTTGTTTCATTAATTTATATTTTTAATTTTACTTTATAGTAAAGTTTATTTAATTTTATGTTCCCGATAATCTTTTTGGTATCCTATTTTAATTTATTTTAGTTTGTAACCGTTTTTTTACTTTTTTTTCTTATAATTATTTTTTGTTTTCTTTTATTTCTTTATTTTTAATTTAATTTTTTGTTTATTCTATTTTTTTATTAATAATTTAATTTTGTATTTTAAAATTATTTATTTCAATATATAAATTTTAAATTTTTTTTCATTATGTTAATATTTTTCGTTATTTCTTTTAATTTTGCTATTTTAACAAATTTGCTTATTAAATTATTTTAACACTTTGTTATATATTTTTTTATAGTTTTATTTTTTTTTGTAAATTTTTACTTTATTTTCAACTCATTTATTTTATTTTATTGAATTTTTTTTAGTTTATAATGTCCAATTATTTTTTTTATATTATTTTATTGATCTGGAATAAAATATCATAAGACTAATTTTTTTTAACTTTGATATATTTTTTTATTTTTTCTATTTTATTCTATTATATTTTAGTTTTGACTCTTTTTTGTATTATATTTTGTTTCTTTGCTATTTTGTTTAACTGTATTTTTTCTTTATTAAATTATATTATCTTAAAATTTTTTATTTCGATTTCTGTTAATCGCTTTATTTTGTTATACAATTTTTCTTCGTTTTGAATAAATTTTCTTTAATTCATCCAAATTTATTTGATATTTCTTATTTTGTTTGAATTTTTATTCAATTGAACATATTTTAATGTTAAGAGACAACCTCAGATCTCTCATTTCTAAAGAAAAATTAATTTTCTCGGGCCCCTCACATACATACATCAGCCATCAAAATATATAAACTGTTAGATGGGCTCTCAGTCATCAGCCATCAGTCAGCTGCAGCTGAGAAAGAGCCCTCATTGCAACATATGAATAGTGTAACAGTGAATAAACTGAATATAATTGCATTGCAAATTTCTACAAACAACTACTAGTTTTAAGCAGCAAACAATGTAAGCACTTATTCGTTCACACATACATATGTATAAGCAAACATTGAAATTTTGCATGTGCGCATACTTTAGTTGATATGGTTAGTAGTACACTTGTGGCTTATACTGTGCAAATAGAATAGATTGAAATGCGATTTTGAATATAAACGGAAATGACAGGCAACACATCAATAAATTATCTCATAAACCAACAAAATGCATTTGTATATATATTTGAATGTGAAATAATTCATGAGTACAGCTTTTGTGAAGTTGGTTCAAATGTTGATTCAACATGAGGGGGAATAAGAGTAAGAAGAAAAAGAAGAAGTAGAAGATGGTTGCACGACACAATTACTCACTTTACTGTTCTACTATCAAACTGTGGCTCTGAAATATCTTAATACCCCTCATGAAATTTTGAAACTGATAAGCTCTTCCATACCTTTCCTTCGGGTTATCACTAATGTGTTCCCTCAACTCGAAGGCTTAGACTACTTTATTGAGGGCATGCAGTTGATAGTCAAAAACCTTAGCCACAACCTGTTATCGAGGGTATAATCGCCTTGAAAAAGTGGCAATAGAGCAAACGTCACGAATGTGCAACAAATGATACTATGAATATGATAGCATATGAGCTGTTGCAATGGGAAAACACTTGAAGTAAGAAATTGCCAAGACCTGTGGCAAGCATTATTATGTGAGCAATGAATTTTCCAACGAGCAAATGACATTGGCAACTTTGACAACGTCGACATTGGATACAGGTCGTTTCCAGTCTCTGTCACGCCATCACCTACGGGACGTATGACTGATGGCAATAAACTGCTATAAGTACTATTATACGGAAGAAGTTGAAGAAGAGGAATAAAGAAACACGACAACAGCTTGGTGGAGCGTCATGCGAAATGGAGCTAGTTGCTTGTCGCGCTTTTATAAGCAACAAATGCTATCAAGTATAAAATGTAGTGCACATTTTGTCACTACTACTTTCGCACGCTTCAACAATTGCAATAAAGCAACAACACATTGCACGCGATTGTTGTCATGAACTTGACTCGAACGAGTTGGAAATGCAAAAATTTTCGCAAAAAACCAAAATAAAATAAATGACAAAAGAGCACTGAAGAGTAGCAAATTTTTATTCATATAATAAAACAAATGTATGCAAGTATGTACGCGTATGTATATATGTGTCGATAATTGTCTGCACACACTGTCCGCCAATTCATTTAATTGTATCAATTAAATTTAATTTTAAAATTTGCATTCGCGTGTGTGTTGCAAGTGTCGATTGACTTTACAATTTTTTCCGCTCGATGCTAATCAAAATATTGAATTTAACTATTTGACAAATTCAAATGATTGAATGACGAAAGGAACGAATGAAAAACAATAACAATAAAAATTAAAAAAAGTTAAAATGAAATAAAATAATATAGAATAATATAAAACGAAATAAAATAAAAAAAAAAATTAAATAAGATAAAATAAAATAAAATAAAATAAAATAAGATAAAATAAAATAAAATAAAATAAAATAAAATAAAATAAATTAAAATAAAATATATAAGAAAAAGTAAAACAATATAAAAAAGTAAATACTATTAAATCTAAAATTCATGTGATTCTTCTTTGTATTTTTACTTACATATATATAATCAGCCCTTATTAACCGCAGGAGCTTTTTTCTTATTCTCTTTATTGATGATAAGTTATATGAAGTCTTTTATATGAAAATATTTATTTGGTACCCCAATTATGCTTAATATCGTCTGTTTTCCTAAAACGGGGAAAAGGGTCACCGCACATAGCGCATAAGATTTGCTTCATTTGCATTTGATTATAATTCGACGTCTCCTTTGAGGCGACTACAACAAAACACGTTGTTTTTTGTATATGAAACATTGGCGGTCGATGATAATGATGATGGATTTATACACAAATATACTAAATCACCTTTAGGCAGTAGTTTTGTTTGCGCGCGTGAAAATTGCGCCCGCTTAATGCCCTTTTGAAAAACCTTTTTATTAATATTTTTTGCTTTGTTTTTGATTTTCTTTTTTTCGATCGACATTGTGGCGGCAGATGTTGGTGGCAATTAATTGCGATAAAACGTTGAAAACCGTCAGCAAGCGCCTAAAAGATTATAATTTGTTTCACATAGCGTTGTAAAGCATTGTGGAAAATCCCTTTTTAAGCTTTTATTAAAAATAATTTTTTTTGTTTTTCAATTTCCGATTTTTTTCGCCCCTAACTGTTGTTTTGTTTCGCTTTTAGTACGGTATTTTTGTTAATTGAAATTATATTGTAGTTTCTTCCAATTGTAAAACTCATTATTATTTTTAATTAAATCTTCGGTTCTTATGATGGTTATTGTATTTATATGGTGAGGTAAAAATTAATTAGTGATTATGGTTCATTAAAACTAATAATAATGTAATGAGTATTACATGAACAAGCAGTTTAATCAAAAAGATGATTGGCGATCCATAAAAAAGTTGATATATATTAAAACTTTTTTACTCTTACATACATAGTCTTATTGTATTTATTATAATTTTGAAGATTATTTTTATTTTTATTACTAAAGAAAAACACAATTTTTTTAACCACACGTTTATGCCCAAGCACGAAAGAGGGCGTTCAAACACCGCATCAACACACACAGACATATCACTGACTGCCTGTCAGCTGTACGGATGAATGACTAAATGAATATATTGTATGGGAGGACAGATGGGCGTCAGCCCAGACAAAATGATTCTGTTGTTTATTTCATTCTTGCGCTAAGACAATGGGTTTGTTGTTGTTCCATTTCTTCTTTTATCTAGTAGAAATAATGAAATATTCTTGTCTTTGGGTTTGAAATTATACACATGTACATATAGATATTTTGTAGGCGATATATTTGTACGTAAATGTATATGTATGATGTACATATGTCCATTACGACGATAGAATTTAGTGGCATAAATTGTTTTTGTTTTTATTTGTAAAAAGGAATTTTTATTGAATTTTATACACATACATATGTATTTTTACATGTATATAAACTTACATACACATGTCTTTTGACTATAACAAATTTAATAAAATTTCATTTTTTTAATTGATTTTCTATTTTTCTTATATTTGCAGGTAAATACTTCTAAGATGTTTTTAGCACTTGCATCGTTTAGCGGTATCTGTAAGCAAAATCTAAGCAAAAAAATAATTTTCAATTAATTTTTTCTTTTATATTTACACACAAAAGAAGTCCAAAAATTTATTCGGGTAAAATATAGATAACAAAAAGCAGTTTCAATCATCGCCAATTTTTTAAATTCTTAACAATTCCAAAGCTTAGTACCTTTGGCTACATTTTAAGGGTTTCAAAATACTATATATGGGTTTAAATTATTTTTAAAGGATCTTAAAAACAATTCCTGAAGAGCAAACATACTATACGTATTTGATTAGTTGAAAAATTAAATCCCAAACACACAGACTCAAAGTCGAAAATCTCTTTAAAAATATTATTTGCCTGCAACGCTTCCTAAACTTAAAAATTTTCCTTAAAAAATTTCTGGTTTTGAGGCGAACATATACGATATTACCCTAGCAGATCCGCTTCTTTAATAAATCTCTTTCTCTGGAAGAGCCAAAATAATACCAATTATTTATCTCGCAAGCATGACTTAAATTCACTAAAAAAATATATATTTTTATAATATACCGCACTTAAAAAAATTTTAACACATAAAAGACGACCCAATTAATTATTCTAAAATAATACATTAAACATACATACATATTACGTAAATAATTTATAAAACTCACAATAAATTAATGTAACGCTGACCGAACAAATACAAATACTATGCTCATAAATAATTTATTTTTATTAAAATATAATGCTATCGTAAAAATACACGAATATGTAGTGTATAACATTACATACATACACGTATACAATGTTTCAATAGGCTCATGAGTGAAATTTGTTGGCCAACGCTTTGAAATTAAGAAAAAAAAACCATAAAAATTGTTCTAGTGAAATATTGCTGAACAAACGTGTGAACATGGAAAAGTGTTTGGGGAAACAGCTGTGGCTAGCGAACTAGAACCATTTGTGTAACACAGAAATATAATTTTTTTAACACTTCCTGAGAGACATATTTTATTAACATATGCAATTGAAAGCTAAAATAATGCGTTATTTATTTTTTGTTAAATATTATTGTTCTTCTTCTTTATTGGTGTTCGCACCGCTTACTCGAATATATCCAAATCAATCTTAGCGCGCCATTCCTCTGTTCTTTTCGTTGCCTGGTGCCAGTTGGAAATACCAAGTGAAGCCAGGTCACTCTCCGCCTGATCCTCTCAACGGAGTGGAGGTCTTCCTCTTCCTCTGCTTCCGCCAGCGGGTACTGCATCGAATACTTTCAAAGTCGGAGTGCTTTCATCCATTCGGACGACATCACATAGCCAGCATAACTGTTGTATCTTCATTCGCTATTCGCCGTTACCAACTCTTAGAGAACCATATATCTTACGCAAAACTCTTCTTTCGACACCTTCTAACGCTGACTCTTTAGATGTTGTCATCGTCCATGTCTCCGCACCATATAGTAGAGTTTGGTTTTTGTTCGTCGAGAGAGCACTTTATTTTTCCGTTGCATACTCGGACCAAATTAGCACCTGTTGGCGAAGGTGATTCTGGGCTGGATTTCAAAGCTGACCTCATTATTGGTGTTAATGCTGGTTCCTATATAGACGAAGTTATCTACGACTTCAAAATTATGACTGTCAACAGTGACGTGAAAGCCAAGTCGTGAAAGCCATTACTATTTGTTTGATGACAGCAGACATTGTCTTGTCCTCGTTCACTACGGCCTCGCCTCGCTTCTTTATCAATCCTGAAGAAAGCATAACTAACGGCGCTATTGTTGAGGCCGATAATGTCAATATCATCGGCGTACGCCAGTAGTTGTACACTCTTATAGAAGATTGTACTTTCTCTATTCAGCTCTGCAGCTCTTATTATTCTCTCCAGCATCAAATTGAAGAAATCACACGACAAGGAGTCACCCTGTCTGAAACCTTGTTTATTTATTTATTTTATTTAGCTAAATTTAATTGAGTTTTTTTAATATATAAATAAATATCTTCCTTCCGTTTTTTTGCATTTTGAATTTCGCGGTTATGTACAAAGCGCTACAGAGATCGTATCTGGCAACACTACACATAATTTGAAAGGTCTTTACATAACCTACAAAACAACGCTATGCATGATATTGCGTTCAACAGTTATAGACGTGTAAGCATGGAGTTCACTAACGCCGAAATTCGCGCTATTTTAAAGTTTTCCTTCGTTAAAGGCAAATCCGCTAGAGAAACGTTCCGTGAGATTACTAGTGTTTCGGGGGATGGTACTCTATCACTTCGAACCGCGGAGGAATGGTTTCGACGATTCAGAGCCGGTGATAACGACACCATGGATAAGCCAGCCGGCGGAAGACCTGTGACGACAAATACCGATCAATTGATGGAATACATCGAGTTAGACCGGCATATGGCATCTCGTGACATCGCCCAGAAGATGGAAGTTAGTCACCAAACCATTTTGAACCATCTGCAGAAGCCTGGATACAAAAAAAAGTTTGATGTTTGGGTGCCGGGTGGAAATTTGACGCAAAAAAACCTTCTGGACCGAATCAACGCCTGCGATATGCTGCTGAAACGGAACGAACTCGACCCATTCTTGAAGCGGATGGTGACTGGCGACGAAAAATGGATCACATACGACAATATCAAGCGAAAACGGTCGTGGTCGAAGGCCGGTGAATCGTCCCAAACAGTGGCCAAGCCGGGATTGACGGCCAGGAAGGTTTTGCTGTGTGTTTGGTGGGATTGGAAGGGAATCATCCACTATGAGCTGCTCCCATATGGCCAGACGCTTAATTCTACCATCTACTGCGAACAACTGGACCGCTTGAAGCAGGCGATCGACCAGAAGCGTCCAGAATTGGCCAACAGGAAGGGTGTAGTGTTCCACCAGGACAACGCCAGACCACACACTTCGTTGATGACTCGTCAGAAGCTACGGGAGCTCGGATGGGAGGTTTTATCGCATCCACCATATAGCCCGGACGTAGCGCCAAGTGATTACCACCTGTTCCTGTCCATGGCGAATGCCCTTGGTGGTGTGAAGTTGAACTCAAAAGAGGCTTGTGAAAAGTGGCTGTCCGAATTCTTCGCAAATAAGGAGGGGGGCTTCTACGAGGAAGGTATTATGAAGTTGCCGTCTAGATGGAAACAGATCATCGAACAAAACGGCGCATATTTTAACTAAATCCGATCACTGTAACACTTTTTATAAAGCATTGAATGAAGAGCAAAAAAGCGGAAGGGAGATATTTGACAACCTTATAATTTAATTTTATTTTCCTTTGTTTATTTTATTTTATTAATATTATTTGTATTCCTCTTATTATTTTATCTTAATTAATTTAATTTTTTTTTAATTTATTTTTTACATTTATATTATTTCATTTATTTTATTTTATTTTCTCCTCTATTTTTATATTTTATTTTTGAATTTTATTAAATTAAATTTAATTTAATCGAATGAGATTTAATTTATATTATTTTTATTTATCTTATTTAATATTATTTATTTAATTTTATTTTAATTTATTTTATTTTACTTTATTTTCCTTTAATTTATTTTATTTTAATTTATTTTATTTTAGTTTAGTTTATTTTATTTTACTTATGGTTAATTAAGCTTTTTAATTTAAATTATTTCTTATAATTTGCTTTGTTTTATATTATTTTATTATTATCAGTATTAGTAATATTACTAATATTTTATCTCATTTTAATTAAATTTTATTATCTAATTTTCGTTTTGTTTATTTGACTTTATTTAATTTTATTTCATTCTATTTACTTAGTTTTTTTATGATATTTTTTCTTATTTTTTTCCTTCTGCTTTTAGTTTAGCCCATTTTATTTTATTTCCTTCTTTATTTCACTTTTAGTCGTTCATTTTTATTTTGACTTTTATATATTTAATTTTCCTTAATTTTTTAAACAACGTTTTATTTAATTTAATTTCTTATATTTGATTCTTTTATTGATTTTAACTGTGTACATATAAATGATATTATTTCATCAAATTCAAAATGCATTTTCGATAAGTAAGTGAACAGTTACGTATATTCGTTTTAATTCCTTTAAGCCCTTAAATAAATACATATGTACATATTGAGTTAAAATAGTTTTTAAATCGTTTTTTTTTTTTCAAAAGCTTACGATACAAATCGTTCTCCGTGAACAAAATAATTATATTCTCTGGGTTGCAAAACGAAATCCCGCGATGGCAATATGTTATCGAACAAAAATGAATTAAGCGCAAGCAAATAATAGAAAATATCGGATTGAACTAAAGTCAAATCACAAAAGTTATGCAGTTGTGGTTTCAATTCGCCAAATATTTTTAATATTTTTCCCGATTGTTTTTTATTTAGTGGTAACGGCGGCGCGCCGCAGGCAACTAAACGTACCTGATTTCTGCCCTCTTCGGTTTTCACTAAAATATCTAAAATTTGATATTTATCAACTTTTTGCTTGAGCAATTGCACAAATATATCGCGAGGTATTGAAATAGTTTCCTCTGCTGCTATCAATACTAGATATTCTAAATTTAGTATTGATAATACACGTGCAGAATCGAACGGTGTTACTGTCATCTTTAAGGTTCTTAATTCTAAACAAAATGATATCATAGAGTCGATAACTTCCGGCGTCACACCGCCACAGCCGATAATGTCAAGTAGCTTTAGATTTTCGCATCTTCCACAAATGTCAACCAAATAATTCCACTTAATGCCACTGCAATTCCGCAGTTTCAGTTCCGTTAGGTGCGCAAAATCGCCGATTAGTTTACCTGAGTGGGAAAAAAGGGAATAAGTAAGTATGTGAATATAATTTCTAGTGATTTTTGACTGTGAAAACAACGGAAATTTAATATTTTTAAATCAGATTTCTTTGACATTATTGCAAAATCTTAAATTTCAACGTTTTCATTAATTTTACCTGTTAACTCGTAATTCTCACTGAGTTGGAGTTTATCCAGTTTTTCCAAACTCTGAATCGTCTCAATGTCCTCATCACTCAAGCAACATCCAGTTAAATCTATTTCTCTAACATTTTTACAATAATTTCCAATCGTTTCGAGTGCAAGTCTTCGGTAGGGACCATTTAATTGATTTTCAAGGTACTCAATACTTTCGCCTACGCTCTCGAAAAAACAACGTACTGACCAAAATGTCATTTTCGATAGGATCTTCAAATTGCATCTTCGAAATTTCTTCGCCGAGTGAAACTTGAAAATATCACGAAAACGCTCATGTGTACGCGCCAACAAAATTTGTTCAGGTAGTTTTAAGAAGCTGAAAATATGTAATAGGCAGTCGTCGTTCAGTGCCATTAAATTTATACTATTATTTGAGTTGTCTTTGGATGTTTTTTGCTTGAGCTGTGGTTGATTCCAGCTAAAGTCTGGATGAATTTCGAAGCTGAAATCTTTTAAACGATATTCTTTCGTATTAACACAACTACAAAAGAAAAAGAAGAAAGTTAAAAACTTATTTTAATAATTATTATTTTCAATTATATTATGTGGCTTACTCGAAGGCACTTTCCGCTGTGGCAAATTTAACAAATGCCACATTGGGACCCCAACGGCTGTTCGGCTTTTTGGCAGGCATAACAACTAAATCTAATATATCACCAAATTTCGCCAAGTAATTGTATAATTCTTCCTTCGTCAACTGGAGTAAAGAACATTTTTGAATTTCGTAAACTTTTAAAAATATAAAAGCACATTAAAGGTAATAATTATAATCACAAAAACTCACCTCATTTGGTAAATTGTGCAGGCGAAGATTGAAAATTGGTATTCCATCTTCTGTTTGCAACATTTTTTTATCTTGAAGTCGATGGTAAGGTATTTGCTCACATTGTAAACTAGTGGGGTTGTTGTTGTTGTAAGCGCGATGTGAAAAAGTGACCTCCATAATAGTAACCATGTTGTTCGTTGCACTGCCAAGAATGGAATAATTTAGTTCGTGCTCTCACACGTCGTACTGCTGAAGTAGTGGTAAAGGAATTTTCTCTAATAATTTCTTCACATTACTCTCACTCACCTGCACCCAACCAACCATGGTAGAGAGGCCAACATAATGCCAAAGAAACAAAGAGTGATGATGTCAATAAACAGGTAATTCCTGAGAGAATAATCATAACGAAAAGTGTATGTAAGTGATCCTTAACTGAGACATATTTGCAGAGAAAAAGAGATGTGTTTCTCTCCTTTTATTGGAGAACAGGAGCATACCCGACCTTAGTTAATTGACTGCATCGACTGGCTTTGATGTGCATATATCGGAAAACCTTGTATCGATATCTGCGAAAATATTCTTTAATTAATAAATTAAATAAAACATAAAATAAAATAAAATAAAATAAAATAAAATAAAATAAAATAAAATAAAATAAAATAAAATAAAATAAAATAAAATAAAATAAAATAAAATAAAATAAAATAAAATAAAATAAAATAAAATAAAATAAAATAAAATAAAATATAATTAAATTAAATTAAATTCAATCAAATTAAATTAAATTAAATCAAATTAAATTAAATTAAGTTAAATTAAATTATATTATATTAATTAAATTAAATTAAATTAAATTAAATTAAATTAAATTATTAAAAATTAAGTTAAATTAAATTAAATAAAATGAAATGAAGTGAGAAAAGAAAATAAAAGAAAATATAAAAAAATTAAATAAATTAAAATAAAATATTATTTTATAAATACAGAACTTCACAATCTGGAGTTTTTATTAAAGCCTTATATCTGAAAAAATCGGTGTATGGGAGGTATATTCTGACCCTATCGGTATAATTTTCCTTCTGTTACTTATATACTTCAGGTCATATACTATGTATATACTTAAAAGCTAAATGAAAATAAAATAAAAAAATTATTTCTAACTTGCATACATGCAAGTGCACACAATATGTATGCTTTCTTACAGAAATGAAATTTTAACATATTTGGTTCCAAGAAAAACATCTAATGTCTGTATGTGTGTTTGCAATTAAATAAAGATAAAGAGAGCGAAATCTAGCTGCTGACATATTTGGGGATATTAAGCAGAAATATATGTATAATATCGATCGATGACTACATATTTATAAATGTATAATATATGTAGAATATGTATGTATTCGTCAGGGCTTTGTGCTTTTAGGATTTTTAGAGCATAAATAAAATTGAGTGATTACTCACGCGCTCTTTTTCTCTCATACCACAATTTGGTGGAAAATAGAATCCGAAAATCACTGCCTAACATACTCTTAGCCAGAGTTTGGATGAGGACACTTTTGTCGCTTATTAACGTAATTTTCTTTTTTGTGTCGCTTTTCACGTTCACACAGAGATACTTTGTTTAAGGAAATTTTGTGAAATTTGTTTATTCTTAATTTTTTTTTATATTCTCTTTATTTTACAAATTTACGGCATATATTCATTTGAAATTTAAGACAGCTGCAATCAGTTTAAATGAGAAACAAAATAAAAGAGAATGTCAAAATCTACAGAGACGAATTGAAACACAAAGCGTGTCGAACGAGTACAGCGACACGGTGCACTGTCGCCTTCGTCGTCGCCCCCTCCTCTGCAAATGTGTGGTTCGTCGACAAAAAGTATCCCCGTGTAAACTCGGACTTAAGAGATGCGCTCACAAAACTATCTGCTCTTTGAATCCTTACCTGATTGCTTGTATATGTATGTATATACATACATTAGTTTTGGGTATATATTTATATATTTGTTGCTTGTTATTTGTGAACATTTTTTGTGTGTATTTCGAAAGAAAAGAAAAAATGTGAAAAGAACATGTAATAAGTATGTACAAATACAAAAATTCTGTAAAACGTTGTCTTCTTCTTTCTTATTTTACGAATTACTACGCCAGATAAACGTTGTTATCACGCTCTCTTCTGATTTATCACTACCTTTCAAATTCAAATTTGGGATTAATTATTTCGGTGTTTTCCTATAGTTTTTCCAATGCAATTTTTACGAACGAAAAGTGCCACGCCCATCCACATTTATTTATTTCATTTCATAAAACTACAAGATACTCATCTCGAATCTCTAGTCAAAATTAATAAAAAAAAATTTAAATATATATATGTAGGTGTACATACACACATAAAAATAAATATATAGATATATATGTGTATACATAAAACGGCACCAATTATTAAAATTCTGTAGGCTGTACAAAAACGGCATAATGTATGTACATATATACCCCTTTTTTATTTGCCAGATATTATATGGACATCTTTAGGATTTGTTTTTGTCTTGATTAGACTTTATTTCAAAATAATTTCAAATAATAAAATTTCTTAAATTGTTGAAAACTACTGAAGAAATGGTAATTTAGCAGTAAGTAAAAACTCAAGTAAAAAAAAATTGAATTATCATTACTACAAAGAAGAAAAAAAGGAATTGAAAATTTTTGAAAAAAATATTAATTTTTAATTAATTCAAAACATTTCTTTTTTGGTTTTTTTTTTTCGAAAATATTGCATAAATTTTCAAGTATTGCAACCTCAACTACGTAAAATATTGAAAGAATATTATTCCAATTAATATCTTATATAGTACATCACTTCTTCTTCTTTACTGGCGTAGACACCGAACTTATAACTTTGTCCTATTCACTCCTTTTTACTCTGTTTGCCGTGAATTGTAGATACCGAGTCCTTTTCTACCTGGTCTTTCCAACGGATTGGTGGTCTTCCCCTTCCTCTACTTACACCGGCGGGTACTGCATCGAAAACTTTCAAAGCTGGAGCATTCTTATCCATCCGGACCACATGACCTAGCCGGTGCAGCCACTGTCAATGTCGTCGTATATCCAATACATCTTATCATTCCATAGGCTGCTTTACTCGCTGTTACCAACTCTTAGAGGATCATAAATCTTACGCAAAACTTTTCTCTCGACACCTTCTAACGCCGACTTATTAGAAGCTGTCATCGTCCAGGTCTTCGCACCATATAGTAGAACGGATATGATGAACGACTTGTAGAGTTCGGTTTTTGTTCGCCGAGAGAGGACTTTACTTTTCAATTGCATACTCGGATCAAACTAGCACCAGTTGGCAAAGGTGATTCTACGCTAGATTGCAAGGCTGACGTCATTATTGGTTTTAATGCTGGTTCCTAGACAGACGAAGTTATCTACGACTTCATAATTATGACTGTCAACAGTCACGTGAAAGCCAAGTCGCGAATGCCATTACTATTTGTTTGATGAATGATTTGTACGCCAGCAGAAGATTGTAACTCCTCTATTCAGCTATGCAACTCTGATAATATTCTCCAGCCTCATATTAAAAAAGCCACAAAGTAAGGAATCACCCTGCCTGAAACCTCGTTTGGTATCGGACAGCTCGGAGATGTCCTTTCCGATCCTGACTGAGCTTTTAGTGTTGCTGAGTCTTAAAAACAGCTCCTTATCATGTTATCGAAATTTTTAAATTGATGAAGAGGTGGTGCGTGTCGATGCTCTTTTCGGGGATCTTTTCCAAGATTTGCCACACTGAAAAGATCCAAACTGTATGTTGCGATGAGCTTATGTCTTTCGCACAATATGCTCGAAAAGACCTTATTTTTGATATCATGGAGGCTTTTCGCACTAGATGTGCCGCAGATAGTTGGGTTTCTTTTTTTGATTTGGGCACCTCATCAACTCTTCGCCGCAGGGTTCAGGTAATGGAACGTCTGTTCCCTCGTCATCGACTGGGGTTTCGGGTTACCTCTTTGTGTCCTACAAGAGCCTGCTGCGGCCTTGAAAGGTTCCGTAAGTCGCTGTATCTTTTCGTAGATTTTCCGAGCATTGCCATTGTCGCATTTTGGACATCTTGGACATCTACACATGCGCCTTGCTTCCCTCTTCAGTTCTCAGTATCGCATAACGCAGGTATTGTGAGCGATCTCAACATTGCGAGATAGACAGTTTATTTTTCTTTCCACTGCGATACGGCAGTCCTCATCACATCCGATGTTTTTGCGACCTTCCCGAAATCTAATAGTTTCTTTTGCAGCTAACTATGTAGAGAGCTTGAAATGCCGTTCCAAAATTGGCTTATACCCAGTTGCATTTGAGTGCTCACAGAGAGCACAATTGCAAGTTGAGTCACATGATGACCACACTGATTATTGAAAGAAGTAAACAATTTTTTTTTGTTTTCCATATATAAAGTCTCTTCGGTTTCTTTTAATATTTTTTCGTAAATTTTCTACAAAATAAAAACAGCTCGAAATGGCAGCAATAAATAATACTTATTCAACTAATGGAACCTATATCTTTCTCTTATTCCATGGAGATGCGGTATTCGCCAAATGTCACGAATCATAACCTCATCGAGAGTATCAACTCTGACGTCATATCGATGTATTATTTTAATAAGATTCTGGTCCTCACCATCTTTAATAAGATTAGCCTGGAAGCAAAGGGGGAAAATAAACGAATTTAGTTAATATTTAAATGTGGGTTATTTTGTTAGGTTAAGTTGGATCTACTTACATATCTCTTTTTAATACCACTTTCCATTCTTGTGCCACGTACTGGAAACTCGAGGGGCAGATCGCGTTCTACAAAATCTTTGTTGTTACGCAGAAAAGTTAATGCATCTATGACAAATTTGATTGATATTTGAAAGCAGAAATCAATATTTATTATATGGAGACGTGGACATGATTTCACTAATGATAATAATGCTCTATCGGTTATCACGTGGCAGTCTTTAATTGACAGTATTTCGAGTTTTTGTAATTGGCAAAGCTTTTGCAATGCCTCATCGTCGACTGCGTCGTTATTGCCAATGGAGAGAAATCTTAAGTTTCTCAATTGTATTATCTTATCAATGTGTCGTTTCGCTATAGCATTACGTGAAATTATACAGAGCCTTTCCAATTGATCGGCACGATGTTCGACTAGCTTTTCGAATAGTTCATCCGGAATGTATGCCATTTCGTAAGAGCTCAGAATATCAAGTTTCTTTAAACTTGGCAATAACGCTAAGCGACTACAACATGTGGGTGGTATTGAAAATTTGAAAACTTCCAATTTAGGCAAATGTTCGACCATCAAATCTACCATGCTCGTTGTCAATATCTCACAACGCTGTATATCAAGTAGCGTTAAATTACTTAAAGTGGTGATTATCTTAACTAAATGTCCAGGCTCCAAACCGTCGCAATCATACATTTCCAGTTGTTTCAAGTTCTTAAATCGATCTATGTGTTTACCTGTTTTCGAGAAATTTTATTTTTATTATAACATACAACCAGAAAAAAATAAACAAATAATAATATAAAAAAAATTAAATAAAAACTAATATAAAACAAAATTATATAAAAAAAGCAAAACTTAAGAAAAAAATTAATAAGAAAACATATTAAAAAAAATTAATTGAAAGTAAAAAATAACTAATTTAATAACAATAAGTTTATTAGAATAAAAACTGAAAATAAGAAAAATTTAATTTAGATGAATTTACTAAAATAAATGAAATAAAATAAAATGAAATAAAATAAAATAAAATAAAATAAAATAAAAAAAAACTTTATTATGTTGTTTGCAAATGAAAAAGTTAAACATAATTTAAATGGCAACATGAAATAAAAAAATATATTAATAAACAATCAAATATATTATATTAATATATGCTTTACAAGCATATTAAACCAAAACCAAATAATTAAAACAAACTAAAATAAAATAAAATAAAATAAAATAAAATAAAATAAAATAAAATAAAATAAAATAAAATAAAATAAAATAAAATAAAATAAAATAAAATAAAATAAAATAAAGTAAAAAATTAAATAAAGTAAAATGAAACAGAAAAAATAATAAAATAAAATAAAATAAAATAAAATAAAATAAAATAAAATAAAATAAAATAAAATAAAATAAAATAAAATAAAATAAAATAAAACAAAATAAAATAATGTAAAGTAAAATAAAATAAAATACAGTAAAATAAAATAAAATAAAGTAAAAAATTAAATAAAGTAAAATGAAACAGAAAAAATAATAATATCAAATAAAAAACAAAAAAAATCAATTAATTTGAAAAGAACAGTAAGATAATAAACTAAATAAAATAGAAAAAAAATATTTTCTTTTAAATTAAATAGAAAATTAAATTAAAAAAAATTAATATTAAATAAAATAAAACAAAATAAGATGGATTGAATACAGATAAAAAATTAAATTAAACATAATGAAAACACAAAATATTTAAAACTTATTAAAATAAAATTAAATAAAGTAAAATAAAATAAATTAAACTATATTTAAGTAAAACAAAATAAAATAAACTAATTAAAATAAAATAAAAAATAAGTTAAAATAAAATATAATAATAAAAATAAATAAATTAAAAAATTTATAATAACATATATTATAATAAATTAAGCAATATTCATTAACCTGTTAAATACGTATTTTTAGAGAGAATTAAATTTTCCATATGTTCTAATTTAGTGATTGCTTCGAGGTCATCGTCCTTAATTGCTACTGACATCATATTTAATGTTTTCAGTCGTGGCGAGTATTTTAATATATAGTACATATAGCGTTCAAGAAATTCACTCGGTATTCTGCCAACTAAGCATTCGAGACTTGCACCCGCCGCTGTAAAGAAGTCACGCAGCTCCCATAATGTCAAATTGTATAGCACATCAAGTTTACATGTTTTATACGCATGCTTAGTATACATTTCAAAGACATTCCGCAGCCGTGGACAAACACGTAAAAAATTTATTTGATCCTGTAACGTTAAATAACTGAAAATCTTTTCAAGACTATCATCGTCTAAAGCAAGTAAATTAGTTCTATTTTTTGAAATCGTCAATATTGGTTCATCAACCATAGAATTATCATCAGCGTTGGACAATTTATAGGCATTGGGTTGTTCCCAACTAAAGTATGGTACTATATCGAGATAGAGACCGTGTTCAATATGACGTGGTTTGGCAGCGATTGCACTAAAAAAAACAAAAAACAAATAATAATAATAAAAATAAGAAATTTCTGTAAATCATCATTCAAATCAAATTTAAGTCTTTATTACAGATAGGCACTGCTTGCATCACAAAACTTAACCACAGCCTCGGCTGAATCATGCACATCAGGACCTATTTTTGAACTTGGTGTCACTTTTACATCGGCAATCTCGCCATGTATACTAAAATAACCGCGTACCGAGTCCGCAGTCATCTACAAAAACAAAAAAAAAACAGTTATTTAGTTTCTGTTATTTAAATTAACATTTAAAATTATATATAAATAAATGTAATAACTCACTTCCACTGGTAAACGGCGAACAAAAATACTATGTACTAAAACATGATCCTCCGTATAAACATAACCATATTTAGTATAGAATCGATCACTGGGCAAAAGCCGGTTGAAATTTAATATTGGGCTACTTACATAGGAGTAAGTTTTGTATGAGTTCTCGAACATTATGTGATCTATACTTGACTGATTAGATTGAGAATGTTGCATATCCTAAAGTAAAGTAAATTCGCCTGCGGGTATAGATAAATACATAATGTATATATGTATATAATACTAAAAATGTATATGTATATGAACTTGAATGCATTATCATCCCTCTCTCAGGCTGGCATGCGTTGCAACCCACGATGGAAAAAAACTACAGTTGACCTTTTGTATATGCATACATATCTAACGCTATTACACATTTTTAGTACAAACATTGACCGATCTCCGTGGGATGGTCAGAAATTAGCCAGACTTATGATCGTAAAGCCAAGACGGAGATCAGCCGTTTACTTTCTTTTTTCTGTACACATATTTACAACTGCAGAAAAATGCGAATTTGCAGTATTTGGTATCTATTGTCAATTGTCTGTCTGCAACGATATTTATAAACACATCTGCCTGAGCCAACAGAAGGAACAGAGTAGAGCAGAGCAAAGAGAGATAAATGTGGTTTCTACGGAAAAAATCTAAGTTCTTCAAATCACTAATGCTAATGTCTACGGGCGACGTCCTATGTACGTGGTGGTGAGTTTTCATCTTTTCTTCTCTCTAGCGTATGAATTTTATTATTTCGCTTATTCTCCTCTTCTTCTGCTATCCTGTAACACTCTAACGTTGGACAACTGTCAGAAATTTTTTGTGTGGTTTATTCGCCTAACGTCTAGTTCATAGAAGACTGCATCAATTTCAGTATGCAGTAAGGCATGAATCGATAGTAGATTAGTTTCTAAATTTACACTACCACTTGATACTGGTGAAAGTAATCATTTAAAAAAAAGAAAATTTTTAAATTTGGTTTTAATTTTTTTTTTACTTTTTTCTATTATCTGAACTCACATTAAATTCTGAAAGTAAACAAAGGATTTTGAAGCTATTTTGAGTGCAGTAAAGAAGAAAAGTATATGGAGAGCAGAGAGAAGCTTGTTTTAGCAAGTACGAAATGCGTGAGTGCGAAGAACGTGAGAGGTCCCATATGCGTCGACTTATAGAAAATAATAATTAATATAATTAAGTAGTAAAAAAAACTACTTTCGTGAATATCGAAAGGGAAAAAGACGAATGTTGATGTTGAAAGAAAAAAAAAAATTAATTAATTATATATTAATTAATCAGTCACGAGGCAACTGTCGGAAAATACAGCCTTCATGTCGAGAAATTCTTAATTGGGTTAAGGCTGATCGACTTTGTCGGGTCTCGATATATAGTGGTCTGTTGTACCAGAAAAGTCATCAAGCTACTTGGTTGTCTCAGCACAATATTGACTCCGAATTGTAGCGGTAAAGATAGGTCTTGGCTCTGTATACCAAAGAATGCCCGTCATAAGCAAATGAGCCACTCTGAAACCACTCATCAGCAACAACTGTATGAATGCACAGTGAAACGCTATCTCAAACCCTCGCAACCTTGCGTTCAACTACAACACGTATGTGGCGGGAAATATATCGCGAACAGAAAAAGAAAGCGAGTGGATTTTGCGTGAGTATGAAGAGCTTGAGAAGCTGGTCGACAAGGATAATGCTGGAAAATTCTATGAAAAGATTCGGTGACAAGAACATACTTACTTATTGACCAAAGCCGAGTCGGGGCTTGAATGGCGTTTAAAAACACAAAACGGCTGGAGCCGGTGGCTTATTGATAGAGCTATTCATGGCGCTGAAGGGCAAGAAAGATGCCTGCATCAGCATCTTCACATATTATATTATATTATTTAATTTTATTTTATTTTATTTTATTTTATTTTATTTTATTTTATTTTATTTTATTTTATTTTATTTTATTTTATTTTATTTTATTTTATTTTATTTTATTTTATTTTATTTTATTTTATTTTATTTTATTTTATTTTATTTGTTTGATTTTATTTAGTTTTATTCTAATTTATTTTGTTTTATTTTATTTTTTTTTATTTCTTTCGCTTTTTTGATGTTTATTTAATTTTAATTTCTAATTTTACTTTATTTTTTTTTTGCTTTTATCTTATGTAAGTCTTATTAACTTAATTTAATTTAATTTATTTTAAGTTAATTTAATTTAATTTAATAAAATAAAAGCGAAAAATGTTAGGTTTCCTTCTTTGCCTCCTAAGCGTTTCGATGTAAACTTGTAACATCCTTAATGTAATTCTTTCCTTGTTTTCTTCTCGATATCCATTATTTTCGCATTATCGAAGTCTGCTGTGACGTTGCTCTGGCCAAAGTGTTGGGCTAACGTATTTGTGCCCTTTTTTATTCTTCACGTCCGTCTTATGTTCACCTATTTTCATGTCTAGCGCTCGCTTTGTTGTTCCTATATGAACATTGTTGCATTGTTCGTCGTTTGTTGTTCTTCCTTATTTATTTTATCTTTCGTTTTGGTAAAGATTGTGTTGAGTGGAAAATATATTTGCCTAAGGATTTGTTGTCCGTTAAACCTGTTATGTATGTTATGCCAGTGAATGTTTTGTTTTCGTATTTAGTTTATACATTGTTGTTTACGCCTTCTATTTTGTTGAATGTTGTTGTTATAAATCTCTCTCCGTTAGTCCGTTTTTGTACAATATGTTTCTAATGTTTTCCTGGTTATCGTTTCTGAACTCCTGGTCGCTGAGTTTATAGATTTTTCTATTTGGCAGTGTTTTTCTTTTGACTCCATGGTTGATTGGTTGGTCATCCTGGATGGGGACACAGCTTTTGAGTAGCAGTTAATTTTAATTTCAACAACTAATTTAATTTAATTTTATTTCATTTCATTTTATTTTATTGGATTTTATTTTATTTTATTGGATTTTATTTTATTTTTAATTTAATATAATTGAATTTAATTAATAACATATAAATATCTTTAAGATCAAGATAAGCATTGAAGTAAAACTTGTGCTCACCCTGACATGGCTCATGGAAAAACCAGCGCATAGAACTGAACTTGAGCAATTTTTTTCCATTTTTTTGATACTTTTGTCACGTTTTTCAGCCCTGCAGCACTTTACAAGCTAGTTTTATGTTACGTTGATCTTAGCATGATAGCTCACGAAGTGTTAATATCTAAGTTTCTCAGTTCTAAACTGAAACAAATTTCTGATTAAATTTTCAATTGTGTTTGACAAAATTATATCGTCGTCGCTGTAAAAATAGGACGAAAAGAGAAATGTTTTCCACATCATATAACCATTATCGTGAAATAGGTCTTCTCAATATCGTAGGTAGGCTCTCAACTATGCTACTTATTCGCGAAGTTGTTATTCTTGCCCTAGAGTATGTATCGATGATGTCGATATTGTTGGCCTGTCCAAGTAAGCAGAGAGAGTTGGTCTGATGGTAGATAATTGTAAAGAAAAGAGAATATTGATATTTCTGTGGCAAACGCAAGTACAGAAGGGATCTAAGCAAGGAAAACGACGAAACGAGCTGGGATGGTATCAAAATTTTTGTAGGTATCTTTAGCCTAGAAAAGAATTGCCGTAAAATAAAATAAGTAATTTTTATTTAATACTTTATTTTCATTAACTATTTTCTAGAGTTTATCGTCACAGCACTATTTGTATTGAAATGTTCTTATTAATTTATTTGAAATATATTAATTTATTATGTTATACGAGGACAAGAAATTATTATAACGATATTTTCTGTAGCAATCATTGACATCTTCAGGGTACTGCGGAGGCGGATCATCAAATATGATTTCTATAAGTGTGTTTAACGCAGCCGATCTGTATTGATAAACCTGACAAAAATAAAATAAAAAATGAAAAAGTGTAATTAAATTTGAAAATAAGATAATTTAAAATATTAATTAAGTGTCAAACTTACACTATTTAAATAATATGAACTAATTCGTGAGCCATTTGCGTAAAGCAATAACGGTTTATTTCGCAAATGTTTAGTACTTTTCAACAAAGGTATTATTTCAATCGCGAAAACCATGGAAACTTCTCTGCAGTCCTCAATATTCAAATGATATAGTCGTAGGCAATATTTCACCAATGGATATAAGCCTTGGTTGGTTAAGTCCATACCGCGTCTAATTGATAACTCTTCGAGTTCTTTTAAATCACAAAGCATAGCCGCCATGCTATCGTTGATGGCGCTATAACCGAAATCGAGTACTTTTAGTTTCTGCAATTTCGCTATTGACTTTACTTCATTTTCTGTGATTTTACTTCTTGAGAAAAATGCAAGAATTTCCATTTCATCGGCTCTATGTATGGCCAATTCTTGAAGTGTGCGAGATAATTCTGAACTCCCGCTGTGATCTTCTACTATTTCTAAGTATTTAATACTTGGCAAATGTGCCACACGATAATAACTGTAGTTTTTTATTGCAAATTTGAAAACTGTCAGTTTTTGGCAAAATTTCACCATCTCGTCTATTAGATCCGTTGTCACTATGGTAGTGCGGGTCATGTCAAGTACCGTTAAATTGGGTAAATTGCGTACAATTTCCTTCATATGTACCACCTTCAAGCCACAACCACACAAAGAGAGCTCCCTTAAGTTAACAAATTCGCTGATATATTTACCTGTGTTAATAAAAAGTTGAAAAAGAAAAAGTTATTTGTAAGAAATGCGAAAATTATAAAATGTTGGTTAAAGATTTCAGCCGAACGAGACTATTGTGCTATGGACAGAGAAGAAAAATAGTTAAAAAAAGTAAAAAAAAAAAAATAAATGTAAAATCGAAACTGAAGACTTTTGAAAATGAATTTATTTTTTTTTTAAAAGTCATGCGATTTTAATCGTTTTCAATGTTTCGCAGTAATTTTCTTTTCGGTATGATACAGTTCAAAGGTCATCTTTATCATATATTTCATGACTGCTCATGAACATTTGGTTTTGTTCTTACCCGTTATCTCTAGATTGTCAATGAGTGTTAATTTCTCCAACTGTGTTAGATGTAAAAGGGTTTCAATAAATTCATCATGTACGATGAAGTTGACTAAGTTTAATTCCTTTAATCGTGAACAGTACTCTTGAATATAGTCAACGTACTCAAGACCACGCTCACAGTACAGACTACCATTGAAGCGTTCAAAACTGGCACCAGCAAATCGAAAGAAGTCGCGTGCATACCATAAAGTCATAGAATTGAGCACATTCAAATCACATGTTTTATAACGACTTTTTGCATATGAACTAAAAGCATCAGCAAACCACTCACACACGCGACCGAAACGAATTTGTTCGGGTAGGGTTAAATTTTTTAAAATAATTTGTAGGCAATCATTATTTATTGCATGTATTGTAGTAGTATTTTCTAAAACTTGTAAATCATTCTGAAATATGGGCTGCTCAGTATTGACCAACTTATCATGATCAGGTTGATTCCAGGTACCGTCTGGTTCGACAGTTATTAGATGTCCTTTAATATGAACGATTCTTTTGTCTCTGATGACACTGAAAAAAAGGAAAAAATAAAGAATTAATATAATTTTTCAATATTTAATTCACTCCAAGCTTTTATTTTACCTGCAGGCAGAAAATGAGCGGAGAAATTGAAGTGTACCTCGTCTTAAGCCATACCTCCTACCATTTTTTCTGGGAAACAGTTTTAATTCTTTTATAGGGCCGTAAGACGTAAAGAATTCGTATATTTCCGTCTCAGTAAGCTAGATAATCAAGAGAAAAGACAAAAATTTAAATATTTCGAAGTTAAACTAATATCTTTATTTTCGAAAAATTTAAAAGAAGAATTTAGACGACAAATATATATGTATTTCATGGCTGCATCGTAAGGTCAATTTCACGTTAATCGAAAAATTTCAATCATTTCGGTTAAAATATTTGGAAATATCAACGCTAAAGCAGTTATCAAAATGAATTTCTTTACATTTTTGCCCGAAACGAAAAGCTGTCGCTAATGATAATACGTTAACAGATACTGTTAAACGTTAAAATTGAAGTGTGCTATGAAATCACAGCGGGCAGCGGTTTTAAAATTAATGTTAACGTTAAGTTTGTGTGGTTAACAGTTTCATTTCGTTTTGATAACATGGCGCCGAAACGAAACGAAATAATATCGTTGCGTTTCTTCAGCATCTTTGATATATTTTGAAATAATTACAAGAAAATATTAATGAAAAAGGAAGTAAACAACAACTTCACGATTTACTCACCTCTTTTGGTATATTGTCTAAGCAAATAGTATAAATCAAAATATCATCCTCCGTATAAGCCTCCGCATCGCGTAAACTGAATTTTGGTTGCGGCATCTCTAATACGTCCGTTAGACTCATTTTTGCTTGATGTATGTGTATTTTGTGTTCTATACGCATATTGTTGCTCGTTTGAAATTCGATAACTCAATGAATAATATGTTATCTGAAAACGAACGGGTGTAAAAACTTATTATCCTTTTGTTTATTATACAATAGTAGCTTGTTTTTAAGAAAATCAGGCGGGCGAGTAATTGCTTGACTTGCAAAAATATTTTTGAACTGCCATAAAATGCTGCATAAGCTATATTTTATACATGATTTAATTTTTATTTGTTTATTTTGTATTTTCTGTATTCACTTTATTTTATTTCATTTGATTTATTTTGTTTTGATATGTTTAATTAATAAAATTTAATTTTATATTATTTGTTTCAGATTATTTTATTTGATTTTATATTGTAATTTAAATTAATTCAATTTTGGTTAAAATTATTATCTTTTTATCTTCTATTATTTTATTTTATATTGCTTTATTTTACTTTATCTTGCTTTGTTTAATTTAATTTAATTTAATTGCCTTTTCAATTATTTAATGTACTTTTATTTAATTCTGTTGTTTCTATAATTTTGGTTGTTTGAGTTATAACTGCTTTTTATATTTAATTTAATTTGTTTTCAATTGGTTTATAAAAAAAATTTAATTTTATTTAATTTTGGCTTACTTCACCATATTTTTTATTTTCTTTTGTTTCATTTAATTTTATTTCCTTTCATTTTATGCTATTTTAGTTGGTTTTGTTTTGGCTAAATTTATTTTATTTTGCTTCCTTTCGTTTCATTTCATTTTTTTCATTTCATTTTATTTTCTTTTATTTCATTTTATTTTATTTTATTTTATTTTATTTTATTTTATTTTATTTTATTTTATTTTATTTTATTTTATTTTATTTTATTTTATTTTATTTTTTTATTAAGCTAATTTATTTTTTTTTGTTTTTTTTTGTTTTATTCAACTTAATTTAATTTAATTGTATTATGTTTTATTTCATTTCCTTTCATCTACTTATTTTTGTTTTATTTTATTTTGTTTTATATTATTTTATTTTATTTAAGTTAACTTAATATGAATAATATATTTATATTTTAATTTATTAATATTTATATTCTTATTTTGGTTGTTTGTCTATTTTTTAATTTAGTTTTTTTTTTTCTATTTTGTTCGATTTTATTGTTTTGTATTTTACTTTACATTAAGTTAAATAATATTCTTTTTATAGGCATTTTGTTTTTTTGTTATTTTTTTCTGCTTTTTAATTTTATTTAGTGTTATTTAATTTAAAGTAATTTTTATTAATTATTTATTTAAATTTTTTTATTTTATTTTTTATTTTACAACAATTTATTTTAATTTCATTGAATTTAGTTTTAATATCATAAATTTTCAGCTTAAATTTAAACGAATTTGATATATAATATGTTTGTATGTATTAGTGAACAATGAAAAACTTTTATGACCACATCATGAGTTACGTGTTCCCGAAATTTATTTTGGTCATAATATCAACATTTATATTCTTGGATTATAAGCAATAGCAATCAATTTCGAACTCAAATTCCGCACTCAAATTTAATAATCTTTTGCACCAATAGAGTTTAGAGGATTATTGCGTATTTTAGATTATTTTGCTTTTTTACGATGCAAACTTATAGATATTATGTGTATATATGCAAGTATGTATGTACATTTATACATACATCAATAATATGCAATATTTTTGGCTATCAAATGCAAGTATGTATGCGATACTGAGTAGATGCATCAGCGGAGTTTTGTGCCAAATTCGTACATTTATTCACATCTATACATATATACATGCCCTGTAGTGAAAAGTTGAAATAGTATGAAAAAATGGTAGTATCAAACTGAAATTTGCTAGAACCGTTAAAATTAATTTAGTGGGTTTTAAGCCGCTACATATTTCATTTCATTTACTGAATTCTTGAGTTTTCGAGAGCTTTCGTGGTTTCTTATTTAAACTTATTTTACTGATATTTCAACCTACATGAATAAACTAGTATTTTACTACTACAATAAAATATATTTTTTCGCATAAAACACCCAAATGCCATTAAAAATAAAAGAACAGTTCGCTGGCTTAGTGATTTCATATCGTAAATTTTGGCTTGAGATTCAGACCACCAATATCAGGGGTGATTGATTTTATGTAGAAAATATTGGTTAAAAATCCAGCTTTTTTGCAAGCAAATCAATTTATTGATCACTATTTTTATTCATTCATAAAATCAAAGAATCATTTAGGCCATGTGACTTGATCTACTCTCGAGTAAACAGAAAAATCTGAAAGCTTTAAAGCAGTTCATAGCGAGCTTAAAAGAGAAAAGCAAGAAAGTTCAGAGATTTCAGATTTTCTTGAAAAAAATAAAAAAAATTGTTCGACTTTACTCGGGAACACTTGGTACACTGCTTTCTGAGTTAAAACAACAACTCGACAATTGCATAAGAACTGGTTAGTACAAACTAGTAGTATACCAGTTCATAACTACTAGCTCTCCCTATGGGGTCACATGCCAGCCGGCCTTTCTGTTGGGCAACACAAAGTTTGTTTTTACAATTTTTATTTATTATTGTTTGAAATCTCTTTTATTAATAAAAAAAAAATAAGCACTCATGGAATCTACTAAAAGGGGTAGCGCTGCCAAAATTACACACACACTTACATACTTACACATTGTATGTATGTATGTGCGCAAATGTAGTTAAGTGCGCACAGCCAAAACAAGAAAAGCTCATGACCCGGTCATAGAATTATCAGACATTTTCCATTTCAGGCACTGCTTTTGTGCGCTTTTTGCATTTATGAAAGAAAGAAAAACGGCATAAAATGTACTGGATGAGCATTCTTATACATATGTACATTTGTATTTATATATATAAATATATAAAAATGAAAATACATTTGGCAAACTGAGGCTGCTGCAGTTGCAAACCCTCGCACGCATCAACCAACTCGCTCACCGTTAACCTCAATGCAGTGGCGTTGCATTTGTGGCAACTGTTTTGTGAGTGTGGATTTTTTTTTGTTCGCATACCACACGATGTGGTGAGCGAGGCTTAGTGCGTAGTGCCGACCTTTTGTTTTTCTTTTCATTTTTTATTTTATATTTTTGATTTTTTATTTCTTTTTGCGTTTACATTTTTTTCTATCCAACAACAATTTTACGCATATCTGCATTTGTGTGCCCAACAGTAAATTATTTGTGAGACATGTCCGCAATGCATCCGGGAGGCATCCGGCAGGTTGGCTAGCAAGCAGGCAAGCAGGCAGGCATGCGGATCGGTGGATTGGTTGGTTGGTTGACGGGCGCTATACGCAAATTACATTCATAGATTGGTTATATTTTTGGCGCATTCAGGTAAATTTATAGGCACTGCCGTTATATTATGGGTAATAAAGTTTTGGGTACGCAGAGGTGCACTTCGTTTTTTTTTTATTGCTGAACCATTGTTTCATGCTACAATTGACAGATTTGGCTACTCGACCGGTTGAGCGGTGGTGTGGAGATTCAGATTCACTGTAAAAGGTTGTGCTTTTCACCTTCACTAATCCACTCTGTGCAACGATCTATTACAGGAACTCAGCAGGCATTAAGACAAAGTGGATCACAGAGAGATATTGTCGCATATGTTGGGTTTTTAAAATTTTTGTTCATTTCTCGTTGTCAGTATAGCAACAATCTGTCTCATGAATTTCGTACAGAAAATTATTTACTAGAAAGGTAGCAGTATACTTTAATTTTATCCTAAGCACCCCCATTCTTATGATCACTTAAGATGCTCTCACAAAAATTCAGCAGGTATATCAATGATGTCCGGTGGTCCCAGTATATCAATAGTAGACTGCCTTTCCACTACTTGGTTAGAGAATTACCTCTGATATAGATTTATACTTCAAGAAAATAAAATCCTATGTGAGAGTTCAGAACGATAAAACGCTTTTGACAAATTTCTTTAGCTGAAAAGCTGAAAACTCAAGCTCAAAAGCTTACTATGTTATTTTTCAACTCATTTTATGTAAGTTTAGGAGAACTTCGAGGCCTCAGCTTTGTATAAATAGTAAAGAACTTAGATACATATGAATTTATTTGAATTCTCATATGAAAGCTCTTACTTTTTATATTATATTAGAAAAGAAAAATTGTTTATTTGATAGAAATATCGAAAAATTAAAAGTTCGAATATTTTTTAGTTTAATTGTGAGTTGTTGAAAGCTTTTTTGAACAATATTTGAAATGTAAGCTATGTTGATACAAAAACATCTGAATTCACATTTTTGAAAGCTCAACTATTGCACGCTTTTTTGGTGTTAGCTTTAAAGAGTTTGAAAGTCTTAAAAGTATGCATTTACTTCAACATTTGCTACATGGAAACTGGAGCTTTCTATATTTTAATGTGTTGAAAGCTCTCTTGAAACATGGGATTTTACCGAATTTTTTTAATGTAAAGAAATAGAGGTTGGTAGAGCTCTTAAAGCTTTTCTTCAAAATGCTTTATTCGACTCCAACCTAATTTAGTTATGGAAATACTCTATATTAATTTAGAGATCAATAAAAGAAAATATATATTCCGCTGTAAGATCAAAGATATACCCAGATGGTGATCATTGAAGGATCAGCTCTATATAGGTTTTCTGATTTTTGAATAATTAGTAGAAATTAAGAGATTATAACTAGAGAAAACAAATATTGATACCTTTTTTAATATAAAGAATGGAAAAATTACTCAACAAATCTGCACCTAGTCCATACGCCAAGACATAATGTGGTCTGAGCTACCAAATCCGAAAGGCAAATTTAAAAAAGTTTAAAAATCTTTCAAAACGATAAATAAATTTATGAAAACAAATACTTTAATCAGTTTCTTATATTTTCTTGAGCTGATTCTCTAACAATCTTTTAGAGTTACGAGTAGACTGATGAGTCGGCCTTGAGAGTCTTGGCGATTCTTGAAATTTAGATTTGAATGAAATGATAAATTAAACCAAATATAAATCACAATATACATATCTGGGTATAAAATTGAAGAGCTTAAAAAAAGTTTTCATGAACAAATATTTTTAGCGACATTGCCACCTGTTTAAAAAATTCAAAATGAGCAAAAAAAAATAATAGCATAATAAAAAAAAATAAGTTATGTTAATCACTATATGAGTAACCTAAAATGATCTAAACGTTTTTGATGCGTGGTTGGGAAATTTTTTGTATAGAGTTGCCATATGTTTGCAATTTTCACTTCCATAAAAAAAAAATTTATATTGAGAGTAATAAATTAAAAGGAGTTGGAAGGCTAGAATCAAAAAAAAATTTTTGACGGATGCCACCTGTTTAGAATTTTGAATACAATCAAATTGTTAGAATAATAAATGGCAGAAGGCGGTGTCATTCTGTGTAAGTACATATATGCATTTAAAAAAAACTTAATACGAAAATATTTTTGTAAAGGGTTGCCACCTATATATGTATGTATTCGAATGTTTTAATCTAAATTATTGATAGAGTAAATTGAATATTTAAGTATGTACATATGCATGTGAATTAAAATAGAGATAAATCGAAAAAATCTTTGAAGCGCAACACAACCGGCGGAGATAACAAAAACTGCTAAAATGTTTGAGGTCATTGCAAAGTGGAGCATAAAAAGTTGTTCGCAACCCTGATCGAGAGTTTAGCGGTCGCCACGATAAAGTTTAAACGAAATTTGATTCAAATATGTCCTAGAAAATCGTCTAGGATTTCTTAACATTTGTTTTTCAAAATTAGTTTTGGTTTAGCGAAACAAACCAGCGCATTGCTAATATGTATGTACATAAATATGTATACCGGAATTGCATCCCTTGTTTAGTGTGTACAAAAGGGATGCATTTATGTGGAAAAATAAAAATGCACGGAAAGGAGTTTTCACTGAAATCACTAGCGCATGTATGTGTGCGTGTTTAGCAAGGTATATAAAACAATGCAAACACATACATATAAACACACACATGTTGCATATGCGAATTTTAAGTATGCATTTTCGCAAGCCATAAAGAGTGTGACCGGAACAAATTAAATTTTATAAAATAGAAATAGTATGTACATATGCAAGACAGATGTACACAAATACAATAATTGTTATGTAGATACACAAACGAAGGAACGACCGAGCATAGAAAATTTCTATATTTTAAGATCGATGGTGTCTTTTATTATTTCGAGAACAGATTTAACAATTTGTTTTTCAAAAACTTGTACTTATGTATAAGTGTTGGTATGTATGTATTTATATATGTACATATATGTACATGTATTTGTTTAAAGAACGTGTATGTATGCACTCAAAGGCAGGTAGGCTGAACGCTTTGAACTTCAAACTGTGTTTTCGAAGTCTGTGCTGGTAAAATACTGAATCGATCTAAATGAAATTTTAAACATAGCCTCAAGTTACACCTCAAGAGGAATGTATGAATTCACAGTTTTCGATTTTTCAATTGATACATATTATTTGATTATTGATATTATATTAATATTACATAATTATATTATATTAATATTACATAAAAGGCGGCAGTGTTGCGAAGAGGAAGAAACGAACAAAGTAAATCAGCCGTTGTAAATGTAAATAAAGTAAATTCTCTTAAATTTCTCTTAGTAATGTTGCGCTCAGAGGCTTCTTCAAACCTTTCCTGAGGGTAATGAATATAGGCTATCCGTCTATTTTGTATTAAATTTATGTATTATGGCAAAAGAAAAAAAGTAAAACAGCTGTTTTCTGCTGCCACTGTCGAGTTTTTAATTTTTTTATTATGTAAGAAAATTTGTAATATTTTTTTTCACCATATAAACACTTGAAACCTCCGAATACCTAAAACTACCTTTTCAGTTGGCCACTTAGTTAAGTCAGCACACATGTTCGAAATATGAGAGATTTTCGTAAATCTGTTTTCACGTATACATACATATATATATATTTATATATATAATATGTGTACATAACAAATAGCTCACATAAAAATTATTCATTCAGTAAAATTGTAATTTTTTAAATATTTAATTTTCATAAAAATTCGTAAATATTTAAATGAATAAAGCTTAAGTTTTCGTCAAAAAAAACAATAGAAAATATTTGCATTAATATTTGTATAACGAATTAATATTTAAGCCAAAAAATACACTTACTTTCAAAATTACTCACTGGTATGATCGTTTTTTTCTCACTTTCTTTTTGAATGTAACACTCCTTTCAAGTAAATAGAAAGACTGAACATATTACTAGAAATAATTCACAAGCGCAAAAAGTAGAAAAAGTTAGAAATAAACACATTAGAGAAGGGAGAGAGAGGAAGAGCGCGGTGTACATAAATATGGCTTTTGCTGCAACTACTCAACTCTCGTACCTTACATCCATAGCAACCTATCTTATGAGAGCGCCATATAAACACAAAATAGTCACCGCTTGCCCATGACGTTACTGACGGTTGTCCCACAGAAACCAGCGGCGAATTGATTTCTTCCGTAAAACCGACTCGGCTCATTTCTCGTTGCTATACAAGGTTGCCAGTAGAGACTGTTTTACACTAATATTAAATAAACTAAGAAAATGCGTAGTTTTTGTCAAAAGAAATGAAAACTAAACGCATAATTAATTATTTGTTACCAAAAATATTAAGTATATTTGATTTGCGTTTATATTCGAACACATAAATTATGAAATTTGTTGACGAAAATTATATATTTGTTCAGAAGTGTGCAAACACACTGGCAGCTGGTAACATTTCGCCGCTCTCAGCAGCGTCGATAACTCGTGCATGCATCTCGCTCTTGACGTCGCCTGTTATGGACGGATGGTAAGTAAAACGGGTAGTTGCAGTATAAGTAAAAGAGTGATGAGAAGTGAAAGAAAAGGAGTGAAGAGAATGTATTATATATACCTACATACATATGTATTCTGCATGTATTATTTACTCGTAAGTCTTTTTTTTGCCTGGGTTTGTCAATGAAATTTTGTGTACGCATTCAAATGAGCACGAAAATGGTTTCGAATACTCGAGAAAAGGATTTTATGGATATATGTACGTATGTTTATGTATGTACATACATATTTATTTTTTTTCTTAACAGGTAGTGCACTCGATACCGATCTCTTTGAAGCTAACTTCGGTTTGCTTAGGCGTAGGGACTTTTTTTATAACTTTTAAATTTGTTTACTTAATGGTTTGTTTTAAAAGTTAAATCTAAAGTACATATGTATATAGTAAGTATCAGTAGGATTAGAAATAGATCCATCAAAATCTATACTGATCAGGTGAAAATTACGAGTTGGGTTGATTTAGCCATGCCCGTCTGTATATCCGTGGATTTGTACGCAAACTAGCTCCTCAGTTTTTGAGATATTTCAACCAACTTGGTCCATAGATGAACTTTTCCATTAAAATGATCATATGTTGGAACCGGCCGTGTCTTATCACTGTAATATATAAGCTTAAAATGAAATGCCATAAATTTGTACGGTCATGAAAGGCTGTCGGCAAGCACAACCTTGTTGTTTTTCTTTTTTTTTATAAAATTGAGCAATTTATTCAAATTGAAATACTTTGAAGAATAACTTTAACAATTCTTCACAATACCTCGTCAAATTCGTTCTGAATTAAGTTTATATAAGGTCTAGTAAAAAGTTCGTTCGGTTTTTATCTAAAAGATGGCGTTATTGTCCATAGTACTAGTGTCACGTGTCGCATCATGTCATACTATACGGCGCTGAAAACGTGTTTACTCGCGCTAAAAGTTTGTCTTTGACAGTTTTTCGATTGATTGACTCAGAACGTTGTGAGCGCTCGTCAAAGAAAGAGAGAAAATTCGCTATATTTTACAATTTTTCTTCGATTAAGGCAGAAAAGCAGTAGTTTATGGGCCCCTGTAAACGGAAGTGTAACACAAAAGTGGTTTGCTTGGTTCCCTTCCGGTAACTTCGATGTCAACGGTGCACCACGTGTCGGAAGGATTGTCGTCGAAAATTGCGATAAAATCATGGAAATAGTGGAAAAAGACCGTCACGTGAGCACTTATTTAATTGCTGAGGAACTAAAGACAAGTAAAAAAAAACCGTTTGGAACCATTTGCATAACCTAATCCAGGAGCTGGGATGGGAGGTCCTAATTCATCCACCTTATAGTCCGGTCCTGGCACCAAGTGATTACCATCTTTTCCTGTCCATGACGAACGCGCTTAATGGGAAGAAGTTGGCCTCAAGAGAGGCTTGTAAAAATTGGCTCTCCGAGTTTTTTGCTAATAGGCACGCAGCTTTCTACGAGAGGGGGATGTTAGTCTCTCGTTGGCATATATTCGACTTAAATTGGACAAATGTACTCGAAGTGATTACAGAAAAGTTAGTTTCTATATATTAAAACTTGAATATTTTATTTTTTAAATAAAATTTATTGAACATCAGCATTCTCTTTGAAAATTAAAATATAATAAATCAGAAAAATGAAAATATTTGAAATAAAAAAATTAATGACATTGTGTTTATTTAAAAATTTAAAATTGTGAGTTAAAAATGTTAAAGTAGATTCCTACAGTGATCATATTTTAAAAAACAGAACGAGCTTTTTACTTGACCAATAATGCAAGTCACCTTTAAATAAAATATTAAATGATATAAAATCAATTAGTTAATTTTAGTAAATCTATTGCAACGTAAAGACTTTTCAGACTGAACGCTGGATGCCTTTTTTAATTTTTTTTTTTCATTTAGAAACTAAGTGAAACGGAACTCGTTTCGAAAACTTTTTTCTAAACTTTTGTTCAAATAAAGAATTTTATTTGTTCTATTAGTATATAAATCGCGGATTTTGAGTATTAATATATCCATCTTATATATGTATGTTCATTAGTAAATAAATTCTTACATGTACATATATTTTTAATTTTAACCAAACTCATTGCCCTTGATAACTTTGAAATTAACACATCAACAGCTTCTCGCGCTTTATATGAAGTACCTGCAGTGCGTCTGCCTAATTTATGACCCAATAAAAAAAGTAAAAAAATAAAAAAAAAAAAACTAAAAAAAAAAATAAACAAAAAAAAATAAATATAAAAATTAAAAAAAAATGAGGCAAAGATAAAAATATTTAAAAGTTAAAAGTTAATTATGCCAAAATAAAAGAAAAAAATAGTGTTTGTTTGCTTTGGCATAAAAGCAAGCAGTTTTCATTAGAATTTCTCTGCCTAAACAAATTTATTAATACACACATATGTACATACATACATAAGTATGTATATATATTTTTTATGAATAAATAATTTAAAGGCAGAGCAATGAACTTTTTTATAATTACATACATATATACACTCATGATAATTCATTTCAAATGGCATTCATGTTTACTAAATATACGTATGTATCTATGTAAGTGAGTACATATTTCCACTACATTTTCTCATTCGCTCAACCCGCCCTTCTCTGCACTTCACTCACTGAAGTCAACGTTTTGTGCTCTCCAAACAGCTGGTGGTCAAATTTTCTGCTATGCTTAAATAAATATATTTTTTTCTCGTATTTATGTTTATAACTGTATATACGATACATTTACATATGATATATATAAAATTAAATATTAAAAACGAAAAAATATTCCGGCGTGCTTAAATTAATTATAAGGTTTAAGTTAATAATGTGTAAAATAAATATATACAAACAATTCTACAAAATATTTTTACACTTTCTCTCTTCCACCCCTTTCGTATGCATTTACGATGCTTCCTTCCGATGATGATTTATTTTAGTTTCATTTATAATATTTGTCGTTTGAGCAAATGAATAATATATTTATTGATAAAGCTTGCTTAAATTATTATATATTATATATATCTATGTACATATATAGTATATGCTTACGAGTTTTTACACATATGTATGTATGAATGAGTTGCTGCTTTTCCTGTCGCTTTCAAGCAGGATTGAGTTCAACTATGCATGAGGCTGTCAATTGTCTACTATGCATCAGGCTTTATACTAGTCTTATACTAGTTCATTTAGACTTGTTAAACTCCAACTTCACAAAAAAAAAAAAAATTAAATGAAAATAAAAATCAGCTTGCCGAATTTTTGTTGTTGTTGTAGTTTGATTCTATTTTTGTTTGTATTTGTATTTTACCTGCTGCTTAGTGCGTACCCCATATACATACTTATATATGTACATACGTGTATACTCGTCAAATTTTTAGAAATCACCACTTTAAAGCTAAATGAGAAGAGGAAAAGAACTTTCTATTGCAATATAAAATAAGAAAAAATAATTAAATTATAAATTAATAACAGTTCAATAATTTCAATTTGAGAATATTATAGAATTTTTTATATTTTTTATTTTGCCATATCAGGTTAACCATCTTATGGTTTCAAAAGCTCACGGTTGTATTTCGACATCTGTAAAGCTTAACTGTCAAACCAACCAATGAACGGCCGCGTTATCTCTCGTCTTGGCGATGTCAAGTGATCATCGACATCGTGCGATTTGACTCCGTCATTTTGTTTTTTGATAGGACTAAGCGAGAGACTATCTTTATGTGGTTAAACTCTTAACTCTCGAGCACTCGAAACCAAAATTCATCAAATTATGGCTTAGTTACCGCCCAATATGTGCTGAAAAGTGCTCGATAATAACCTCGAACGAATGGGAGTTTGCGATAATTGTATATTATCTTTAGCCTCTTCAGGGTAAACTAAACGATTTAGGACTTATTTTTCGGTACACCCTCATTGAAAATTCTCCTACCGCTCATTGTAAAAGTCTAACCGCAACCTTCTGCGGTGGGTTCAGATTGTATCTGGTTTTCGACTACCGATCTGTAGGATTTTTCGTTCTATTTTCGGGCGCGCCCCGGCAGCTGGTTAACGCTGGGTTCGTCGTAAGAAAGTTTGCCAAGTATAACTCCTTTGCATTTACATAGTTTACAGTTAACTTGTGCTAGGATACTTAGTTATTATAATACCAACAAATGAACGTTCTCAGTTTGTCCCATATAGCTTAAGAAGTTTCGTTGTAGTTGTATCTGTTGTAGTAACTGCTACGTTTACCCCGCTTAGGAACAGGTTAATTAATTAAAGTCGCCGAGGTCATCTAATGGGAGGTCCAGGAAACGTGCCGTATCGACGCATTGGACCTGAGAGAGAGTGGGATGAGATGAGTCGGTTTAAGGGGGCATGCGAAGAGGTGGTTAGTGTCGCGCCGAGACTCTCAATACAGGACATACGTTTGGTATGTTGGGGTCGAGTCTGGATAGGTAGGAGTTTAACATGCG